TATCTGGGAATTGGTGGCTTGGGTCATTTGACTTTGGAAAGTTCATAACAAGACCGATCAAATTATAATTAATAGTATCCATATGATCTCAGTCGACGAGCATGTCATTATTCATTTACAAATTTATTTCTCTTATTGTTATTCAAATTTATTTACGGGCTTATTCATATTGTAGCATATACTTTTTTATGGAGGGAAAATTCATGCGTCTATAAAAAGGACATTTGTGAAAGAAGGTAATACTTATATCTTCCAGAATGTTTTGGTAGTTCCAAACGATCCGAAGTTCATGCTCACAAGATCATATTTATATCCACTACTCAGGTAACCAATTGTAAAGCCGAGAATATTATAACCGTCACTTATTACTGAACGGATTTTTTTGACATCATAAATGACAGGGATGACACATGGCTTATAGGTAAAATATTTTTTAATTATTAAATTATGTGTTTTCTTAATTTATTATGCAAACATTACAATATTTTTTTATGTGTATACTTTGTTTTCTTTTAAATGTTATTGGACATGTTATTGAAAGAGAAAAGGTTAACACAATAATTATTTTTATTATATATACACATGTCAATAAAATATTCCCTCTTTCAATAAATATTGCAGGATTACGTCATGATAATGACATGATACCAATTAGTAAATTGCATGGTAAAGGAGTTGGTGTTGAAGCTGCGTCTTCTAATTTATCGGACGATGTAACTACAAAAACTTCAACTACGAAGTCATATAAGAGGATCAAAACAGAGAAGTCATGACATAATGGTCTTACAGATTATTGTATTGATGGCAACATTACAATAATATTAACCATTAGGGTGTTTTCATTTTAAGTACACATTTTTTTGGTTGTATGTTTCAACAGTTTTATTTAGGTGGTTGTTATGTTAATTTAATTATGTATTTTTTAGAATAACTGTTTTCAGTAGTAACTTTTTTAAGACTTACAGTAGGTAGATCCTATATACGCTGCATTTTGTTGTTGTTGATGTTGCTATAAATTCAAAAAACTTTTGTTATTATAGGATTTTGATGCGAGTAGACCAGAAAAAGAGAAAAATAAATAAATAAACGACCTATTTTCAGTTGAAATTCCACATGATATGTTAATTCATGATTCAAACGACCCCTTTCAGAGTTGTTGAAGTTTATTTATCCAAATTTCTTAAGTAATATTTTCACTTCAGATTACTTTTAAGGTAGACCAATTCTTGAACCGAATAATGAAACTGTGGAATTTATTAGTGATTATTTGTCATCGCTCATTCATGGAGAAGAGACTTATTTGACCTCTGATAGTATTTGCAAAGATGAGGCAACTTCTAAATCTAATGCGGAAATTTATTTAACAGAGTTTCTCAGTACCATAACATGCTGCGAACTTCCTTCACATAAGTTGAGATTAAAAGTTGGTTTGTTATGTTCATTAGAAATGTTGATCAAGTTAGGGGATTGTACAATGGAATTGGGCTTCAAGTTACTCAAATGGGAACTCACGTTATTAACTGCAAGATTCTTTCTGATAAGCATGTTGGTGATATGGTATTCATTCCTCGGATAACTTTGATACCGTTAAATTGCACATTGCTGATCAAATTTCAAAGACGACAATTTTCAATGATTGTTTCATTTGGCATGACGATTAACAAAAGTCAAGGACAAAAATTTTCGCATGTCGGACTATAGCTTCCAAGGCATGTTTTCAGCCACAAACAGTTATATGTAGTGCAGTCTAGAGTCAAAAGTAGGTCTGCGATAAAGATTCTCATCAACTCTGAATCGGGTGAACTACGCAATGTACTAGCAATGTCGTGTATAAAGAAGTATTTCAGCGAATATGAAGATACATATATATGGTTCATTGAGTTATATATGTTTGTTTAAACTTGACATGCAAAACCACTTGCGAATCAATATCGATTTAGCTTACAAATTACAAAAAAAAAATGAATAGCAGTAACGAATACTTCCAAGATAACGGTTTCACCAGTTACCTTCATGAGTATGCTATGTATGTTAAATCTTTTGCCAATGGTTCTATTTTGCTCGTTTTCCTTTATACTGATCACTTAATTTTCACGGGCAACGTTCCAAACTTATTTAACGAATTCAAAAAGACTATGTCTTTTGACTTTGAGATGACATCTTTTGAATTTGAGACGACATATATTGGTCTCATGTTGTATTAATTGTGCTTGGAAGTAAAACAAAGGGACGAAGAAATTTCCATTTCTCAAGAAATATACGAAAATGAGGTGTTAAAGAAATTTCATATGATTGGTTGTAGTCCTGCGAACACCACGATGAAATGCGGAATGAAGTTATCAAAATTTGACGATGGAGAGAAAAAAGATCATACTCTTTCCAAAAGCCTCATGGGAGCTTGAGATATCTAATAAACACAAGGCCCGACATTCTCTGTGCGGTTGGAGTCATAAGTACATATATGAAATCTCTTACATCAACGCACACCAGAATAATCATTCGTTACTTGAAAGGTACTATTGGATTTGGAGTATTATATTCTTCTTTGTGGTGAATTTAAGCTTCAAGGTTTTTATGATAGAGATTGTTGAATTTAAATGCCTATCAAAGTCCACTCATCTGTTGAGACAGACTACATGTTACGACATTAGGTGACGTAACAGAATTGTTGTGTTGTCACAGTAATAAATCTACGAAAAGCAGAATAAAGAACACAACAATTTAATGTGGTTCGGATACAAATGTACCCTACATCCACGAGGACTTGCAAAACTAGTTCAGATTTAAGTGTACATTAATAGGACTTAATAAAACACTAAAGACTCCCTCTTTATGTGATACGCCGTTCTTGCACACGACTCGAACTTGTTGATAATCAAAGCAATTCCTCCTCCGCACTCTTGGACTTCCTCCAATGTTGACTTCCTTCAAATGGCGGATCGACCTCTCCCGAGATCTTTTAAGCACTTCTCCCGAAACGCCGATCTTCTTTATGGCCTGGTAGAAGAAACCTGTTATGTTGCCACACCTGCCGTGCAGACAGGGCTGCAGCACGGGCTGCACCCTTCAAAGCCTTTATGCTGGGATTTTTCTTATTAAAGCTCCATCGGACTCATATAAGGTTGAGGGCCTTATATAGGCACGAAATCCACCACCCTAAACCTAACTTGAGCCCTAAGAAATCGATTAACTAGGTAATAGAATCCTAGTCGATTTCTACTTCTATTCTAGATAAATACAAAAGATACCTAACTAGAATACAATACATGGAAATAAATCTAAGTCCTAATAACAATATTACAAAAATAGGACTCTAATTAATTCCAAAATAAACATGGAAAACAAATCTTTGCCAATCTTTAATTTCCACGTATGGCGGATTTCTTCTATCTTCACAAATAGAAATCTCGTGCCAACAGAGATAATGTTGGAGACATTGATAATGTTGGAGACATTGATGATAGAAAGAGCACCACCGGATATGTGTTCTTTATGGGAGAGTCGGCTATTTCTTGGAGTTCGAAAAAATAACCCATTGTTACTCTCTCAGTTTGTGAGTCCGAGTATGTGGTAGCGATATCTTGTACATGCCATGCAATTTGGCTTAGGAGGATGCTTGAAGAACTTCATTCCCACAACAACAAGCTATGGAGATTTGCTTCGATAATAAGTCGGCACAAGCACTTGCCAAAAACCCGTTGTTCCATGATCGGGAGTGCATTGCCGAGAAGAAAGAGAAGTTCAATCTTGTGAAGTCTCTAGATCAAATTGCGGATATTTTTACCAAGCCTCTAAAGTTTGAGGAATTTAGAAGATTGAGAGCAAGTCTTGGGGTCAAGGTGAGAGCGTTGAATGTTGATTAATAAATTTGAAATAAATTAGTACAAGTACGTTTACGTAAATCTAGCTAGTGTAGTAACTCATGTATCTTGTGGAGTTGAAAGGGAATGAGAAAAGAAGAACCGTAACTTGCATTATACTCTTCCAAATATTTCCTCTTCTTCCCATTTTGTTTTCTTTCTTCCAGCAATTGTTCCAATTCGATGACCTTCATTGAACCTGTATAAATCCGTGTGTACGAGCTAAAGGGTTCCAAAACCAACTATTATCGGACATTTGACGTGGACCGAACTATGCTCAAAGCCCAAATGCATTACATAGGCGTAATTCCCGGTTTCTTGATAATTACGCCAATGAAATACGACAATTATATTAGGGGCGAGACTCACGGTTGAATGGTCATGTCACGATAAAGGAAGTCTAATGATTATGGCAAGTCCGGTATTCGTTGTCTTGATTTCCAGACTTTTCCAAAATAGGAACAACCATTAGGTACGGTCATCATTGCATCGACTCTCTTGTAATTTCAATGTAAATTCAAGGAACAAGGGTAAAGTTACAAACTATTGATGTTTGATAAATTTTTTATTATTTTTCCATTCTTTTTATATTTTAAAATACTTTACTGGCTTGAGAGTTGGAGGGGTTGTACGCCGAGAAATCCTCCTCCCAGTACTTTTATGTTTTGATGGGACGATTTTCGATTCGCAATCTCCTGATCCTTTTGTAGTTTGGTAGTTTTATTATATTTGAACTTACTCCCTTGGTAGAGAGAATTTGCTCAAAATTCACTTGCCACAAAATTATCTTCTTATAACATCAGTTAATTGATATAAAGACATAAATAAATATATTTTTTATTACAAGTTAAAGTTTGATGTGAATAAGTAACTTATATAGGATCGTCTATGGTCCAAGAGTGTCGTACTTTTTACCAACCATTCCTTCAAATGAGAATTTGACATGTGCATGTCATACGTTCAGCTCAACATATTGGATTGAAATCAACATTTTCAAAGCAATTCCGATTTTCTTTTTTTATTATTTTGAAATCTTTGGTGAGTTCTGATTTCGATTTCAATTTTTCCGATTCCGATTCTGATTTTTTGGAAATTTCAGAATCTAAGTATGAATTCTAAACAACTATTTGGGAGAAATAAGCTTCAAGAACAAAAAACGAAATATTGCAAAATGAAGAGTTATTGAGGGATGATGGTCAATTAGGCATTGGCCAAACACCCCCTAATGCTTTCCAGCCACACATTAATTATACAAACCAAAACTTGATAAATGAGATGTGTGATGGTCAATTAGGCATTGACCAAACACCTCTCTCATTTTTTAAAAATAAAAATATATATTTAAAAAAATAAAAATTCCACATAAAACTTCAAATCTATTTTCCAAGTGTATGATTTTCATCTACAAACAACTTCCCATTTCATTGGCTGCTGCAAAAATCTAAGAATCCCATGAACTCATGATTGTTTATCATCCTTATGCTTTTATCTATTCCAACAACACCTGCCATCCATCACACGAGAGATCAATTTTTTAACGAAAAAAGCGACGACGAACGAATAATTTAATTTAAAAAAAAAATAAAAAAAATTAATTACCCATTGTGAGAGCACTTGCGAAAATGACGCCCGAGAGAATAAACACAATAAGCGAACCCCTCCTTAGGATTGTTATCAGCTTTCTAATGAAATATTGCCCCCAGAAACCAGCCAAAATCGAGACAGCCATTAGGTACAGAGCTGTAAAACGACGTTTCATTGGTTGTCATATTCTTATGCTTGGACCGTTTCCGATTCCGTATCCATTATCGAAACAGACTAATTGATTTTGAAAAATGAAAAAAATAAAACATATACCGTAGGGCATTGGAAACCTCTGGAGGAGATAAAATTCGACCACGGATAAAGATGAGGAGAACATCATCACAAAAGTCGCCGTCGAGCTAGCCACCTATAAATACAATATAGATATTTCCCAATCAATCTTTAATTGCAATAGTGACATCATAATTCATTCACGAAACTTCGATATTTCACAAGTACCTGAGGCATAACTCCGATTTCGAGCAAGAGGGGGCCAAGAATGAAGCCCCCGCCAGAGCCTAACAAACCACCGACAGTGCCACCTAGGATACCACAAAGTGCACAGAATGCAAGATTTGTGCTCGTCCATTCTATTGCTGCCTCACATATTAAATCTGTACTTCCAGAAATTCTTCTGTTCTTGCTTTTCTTGTACAGCCTCACACATTCGTATCCGAACACACCAAGTGCAACCGGGAACTGAAAAAAAATTAAAATTAAAATAAATAAATACAGTTTCGATGTAACATAAAAAAAAAAAAAAAAAAAAAAAAAAGAAGATATTCGTTGTAAGAGAATTTATGTACCTGTAACAAGTTAAGCACCCAGTACAATGTACTACAAGTCGTTGTGCCATTCTGCGAACAAACAGTAATTGTCAAAAAAAATACTCGATTCGGAGGTTTAGAGGGGTAAAAGTGTAATTTGACAGACCTTGATGACTTGAAGAAGCAAGAAACAAACCCATACAAGCAGCAGCACCAAGATTCTGTTAAGGTTTAAGTTGCCCTTCAGAATTTGCTGAAAAAACGCGGAGCAATATCGATTCAGATCGAGAAAGGATATATACATATACTATGAGAGAGAAAAAATATTAAAAAGGGAAATACGCTCACAAGTTTCGTTTTCTCTGCTTTAGGAATCAACGGTTCATACTCGGTATCAATCAACACTGATCAACCAAACCAAATATCAGAAAAATGCTAACATCAGATCTTCGTTTTTTCTTCTAAATTAAAAAAAATAAAAATAAAAATAAAGTTGCAGAATTTCTTACATTCTCCCCGAGAATTAGCGAACGTGTGTTTCTCTGCGATGGCTTTCTGCAATCATCCAAACGAAGAATAAAAAATTAATTATTGAAAACAATTGGAGAAAAACGGGAAGCATTTCTATGACTACCGGTCAACTTATGTACTTTCTTTAGTTCATTTTTTTAAAGCCGAAATACGACCAAATGTTCTTGAAATTCCGTAGCACTTCAATAATTTAAACTCTACGTAAACTACTGTTCTTAAAATTAAACTGATTGTATAAACTTAATTAAAGTATGGTCAGCGTATAATCCAACAAAAATTTACCTTCAATACAGTTTCCTCCTTCCACATCTCGATAGCCTTGGTAAACGACCTCGAAGAAGTCCCTGTTCGTAACACGGAAAACATTAAAAAGACGAAACTCTAAGCATCTCATACATTTTTTAATTCAAAAACACTTATTATAATGTAATTAACAGGGTAATTAAAGTTCTTACCCATGAATAAAATAATGATTAAAACAGTGATGAGCCAATAGGGGAACACGACACTCAACGAAACACCGATTGTGATTCCGAGCATAAGCATTGGCTGAAACAAAAGAGCCAAATCGTAGTCGATTATTGGCACTTCTCTGCATGGATGGGGCACCCTTAAATTGTACCATACCGATGATGCTGCAGCCCCCATTATCATACCTGCAAAAATTTAAATTAAAAAAAAACCCTCATAAAAAAAATTATTAAGAAACTCGAAAAAAATCCGATAATCCGACATAAACGGTACTTAATAATAATTAATACAAAATGCTTGATTTTGCTTACACTTGGAAATAGCGGCGGCGGACTTGGTATCGAAGCCGACGATAAGAGTTAGCATGGGGACGAAAATTCCGCCGCCACCGACCCCACCCACCGTACCACAGGCAGAGCCCAGGAACCCTATCACGGTGGCCAAAACTACTCTCCAGCTAAATTTCAATTCCTGCCACACACACACAAAAAAAAAAAAAGTAAAATCAAAAGAGGGTTAAGATAAGACATAATAAATAAATAAAAAAATCCCAACTTTATGAATTCATGCACCACAAAATTAACTAAAAGCCGCCAGAGAGAAACTCACAGGCCAAACTTTGGCATCAGATCCATAACTGTGTCCGACGCCATTAAAATTGGAAGAAAGCACAGGCTCTGCGTAACCGCCATGCGAGTAATTGTTGACGAAATAAACCGACGCAACGGCCAAGGAAAACGCCGTCAGCAGATAAACCACCAGCGCTTTTGCAGCCATGGCCGTAGATTAATTAATTCAAGTATTAATTAATTAATTAATTAATTAAAAGGAAACCCTCTCTCAAGTATTCAAACGCAGAACCCTATTATTTTCCCTCCCCCCAATTTTTATATTTTATTATCTCTTCTTTTCTTTTTTTTCTCCGCCCTGATTGAAATATATATATATATAGAGTGTGCGGAATCAGCGTAAATAATAGATTCTTTTTTAATTTTGATTGAGAAATAAATTAATAAATTAATTAAATAAATGGCGAAGTGATAGAATATTTGGGCATGTGAATTTGGGTAGAGCACATGCAGCAGGGTCAGAATTGAGAATACGCTAGAATCAGTTTCCCTATATGACAGAAATTTACACGTTGGTCCTTCCATAACGCCACGTGGCAGATTCCCAGCTGTCATTTTTCAAAAATAGAATATATACATAAATGGAAAAATCAGCAAATTGTGGGAGGTAGTGTTCAAATTCTTTTACTATAAACTATTTTGAAGAATTATTTTTTTTGTTTTTTTTTTCAAATGTCAAATTGGAATAATAATCCCTTAGTAGTGTAATAATTCAGTTCTGTTTTGGTTAATTTTAACGGGATCTTTTACTTATTGGATGGAATATTCGCTCCTTGTGATTGTTTGTAATCTACTATAAACAAAATAGTAATTATAGAAAAACGTATAAAATGGAATTAGTTTTTTAAATAGTAATATAAAATTAGAAAAAAACATAAATGAATTCAAATAAAGAATGTATGTAGATGATATACTATAATTATTAGATATGTTTCTAAATTCAAGACGTATTTTAAAAATAAATCTAAATGATTATTTCTATATTAATATGAATTAATATATTTCGTATAATATTTTGTACTCTTATAAGTTATGTTTTTCTTAGTTGCAAATATTATTTTTAAATTATAAAATTAATTATTTATTTTATTTTTCATAATTTATTGAAAATATTTACCAATGGAGTATTGAATCTAATTTTAAACTGGTCCAATTAAAGTTAATAAATTTATACACCGAGAAATTATAATAAGATAAATCATAGAGATGACAGATAAAAATGAGATAATTAAGACATGAAAGATTGCTTTCGACTCCTGTAATATGGGTATGTAAAAATGTAATGTAGTTTCTTTTTTCTGCTTTATTTTTTTCAATACTATACATGAATTAATATGCATATTTGAGTTTGCTTTTGCAAAATTCTTAAATACGACAATCAATTATTAATTTAGTAAGATATTAAACTATCTATAAATTATTAATTATTAATTTACACATTGATTAATAACTTATTAATTTATGAAGTTATTTTAATTATTATTATTTTCAATAAATATTAACAAAAATATGGACGAACCATTAGATTGTGAAATTACCAAAAAAATGGAATTTATAATCAATGGGTTGAATTATCGTGACAAATTGGATGTTGTTTATATCTTAAACTACCTTGAAGAAAACAACGTAACTTTAGAGATGTTGGCTGACAAATATAATTAAGAGTATCATGATAACTTATGAAGAGGAAAAAGTTAAAAATAATACTATAAAACTCGTTTCACAGACAGAAGCTCTTAAAGCAACAATGTTATTGAGCAATTTCGTGTTGAGTTATGAGAAAAATGCACCGATTTTTTTTTTAGGGATGAAATTTAATGTGGTATTGTCAATTTCAACAATAAACAAAAGAAAATCGAACCGTATATTGGAAGTCTTCATAGATTTATCATAAATGTAATGTACCATGTATTTTAAGATCTATTTCCATACATTATTAATGTATATATTAGATAGGGTCTATAAGAATTTATAATATATATTATCTTATAAATTTAATGAATTATTAACTTCAATGTTTTCAAAACCGGACCGGACATTGAACCGGACAAGTAACTGGGTCATGGTTGGACCGGTCCAACCGAGGTCCGACCGGGTTTTTGTATTTTTTTATTTTTAATTATTTATATATAATTTTTATAATAACTATTATGCAAAAATATAGAGAAAATTAACTATTCTTCACATATATTCAAAAGTAAATTGATAATTCTATTTCATTTACCATATACGCCTTTATAAATAATAATTGTTTTATATATTAATAAAAGTTAAGTAAATAAATAACAAATAAAATAAAAAACTACAATAACACTTTTATTCAATTATTAAATATACCCTAAAGACCTAATACTGGTTTGTGAATACACTACATCACTACCAATTACCGCCGCCATCCACGTTCTTCTCTCTATCTGTACAAATTTGTTTTTTTTTTCTTTTTTCTCTTTCTTTCTCAAATGCTTCCCCACCACGATATCTAATATCACGTATTAATCTTCTACGAGAGCTCCTTCAACAATACAAACATCGAAGAGAGGTATAAAGATTTTCAATTTCTTCTCAGTTTTTTTTTTTGTGTTTGCACAGACCGGTTTTTGAGACCGGTTTTCGCCGGTTTTCTTCGGTTCAACCGGGATTTCCGCGGTTCACGGACCATTGAACCGGGTTTTATGACATTCCAGGTATTGGAGTTCAACCGGACCGGACTAGCTACCGGTTCGCGGTTGAACCGGTCGGACCGGCCGGTCCGGTCCGGTTTTCAAAACATTGATTAACTTAACATGTTGTTCCTGAGTCCAAGCGGATAAAAATTATT